ACAATGTTCACACAAACTGCCCCTAACAACAGTCTTGTTACCATTTATGGAAATTGAATACTTAGACCTAGTTAAGGCAGAAAACTTATGAGGAAATAGAAATAGAAGTGCTTGGTCCTCTTATTAAGGGAGTCTGGAATTGACAAAATATTTTTATATGCAAATAGCATAACAATGGTACAGATCCCTTTTGTTGAGACCTTTACCTGTTTACTTGTGATTCCTTTGGCCTCAGTGAACTACTGCTTTACAATGAAGTTTTTGAAAGAAACAGCCTAAAAAATAAAGTCATTGCACATAGGCTAGAGCACACCCAGTCACCGAGTTCATTTGTTCACTTCTGTCTGCCAGCTGGGATTCCTGTAGACTGCTGGATTAAACTGGAGTTAAGTCATCACTTCATGGAAATTAGATTCCTTTGCAGCCCTGTATCTACGTGTTTTGTTGGAAGTAGAAGCTGGATTGTTATAACAAAAGACTATGCACGAGAAGCAGGTCAGCTGAATCACTGTGGGAACTCTGAACTTCTGGGTCAGTCTTTCCACAGTCAAAAATAGTAATGAATCTGCACCCTTAATTCAACTTTATTTGACCCCTCTTATTTTCCTGGAAACACTGAGTATTAGCTAGCGAATCACACTGCTCCATCATTTCCGAGCCTTATAATAATTTTTAGTACTGCTACTCAATTTGCCCATATGCTTTCATAACTACAAGCATTCATACACTAGTTGAAAGAGACCTTTTTCACCCTCAGATTATATCTTGTGGATTACATTGTGATCATGAATAACTGAAAATGCTAAAGACTTACCACAGTGACCTTCTGCTTAAATGCTGTCTTTCATCTAGGCGAGGAGACCACAGGCAGCAGTAAGATGAGCCTGTTGGCCTGTTGTCACACATAGGTTGCCTTTGCAAAGCGTCTGCTGGGGATGTTTCTGTGCAGCCCCCAGCAGCCCAGCTGCTGCACTTGGACCACAGGACATGGCATAAGGCATTGTGTGAAAGCTAATTCTGCACCAGTCATGTTCTGCAGTTGGTGTGAAGCCTAAGGGAGAGGCATGGAGGTCCTATCAGTCTGTTAGACAACGTTTCTGCAAGGCTGAGGTGGTGTTTTGGGAAGCTGTAGCTGACTGCAACATCCTTAGCTGTCCTGACACTGAACGGTCCCACTGCCTAAAGTTAGAGCAAAATTATATTAATGTGTCATTATTGTCCTGTATACAAAGACATAGTCAGTTAGAAAAATAAACCTTTAAGGCTGCTACATAGCCCCTGTGAAAAAACCACACCATCTCAGGTACAGGTAGCATGATGCTTGCTTCATCAAAGTCTAGGATAGCCAGGGTCAGTGCCGACTAGTTAGAAAACCAGCTCTTGCATTCAGCAAACCAGTGCTTAGGTTATGCTCTGACTGTAGGCTGACAATGTGTCTTCCCTTTTACTTACAACAGAAATCTCACTCTTGGTGCCAAAGCTGAAATAGCGTCAGATAAACTTACCTTTAAACTACAAGAGGAAACCAGAGCAGCTATTGCTTCAATGATGTCTGGAAAGGAGCAACTAGAAAAGGTGTAAGTTATTTTCTTTGCCAATTTATATGCAAACTTTCCGTTTTGAATCCTGATGTCCTAAGGAGGTCAAGCTTCTGCAACTGTTTCATTTGTCTGCCCCCTCTAATAACAGAGGCCAACAGCACTGAAGTCAAATAATAATAGTATTGAAGGTAAAAATGTGTTATAAATGTAGGCTGAGAAGATCACAAACACTGGATCATCACCAATAAGCATAGTGAAGCTATTAGTGACTTTTCTTTGATTTTTTCATTACAGTATATTCATAGTTCAACTCACCTTTGAGTTGCTTCAGTTCAACTTGATCTGAGGATGTTGTTTTGAGGATTTTTTTGTTCTAAATAACCATCCAGACTGTATTTCACATTGTTGTTTTTGCATAGTATAAGACTGGCAAGGAAGTGTTAAATCACTGCAGTCAAAGGGTAACATCTGCAGTCATTTCTGACATCAGATCATTTCCTGTTATGGAAATTCACAAGGCATGCTCTTAATATAAATATCAAACATTATTCTATGGATATAGCCTTATAGCATTAACAGCAGTGGTGCCTCCGTCCAGATTTGAAAAGAGTCTGGCTCTTCCTCTTCCGCCTGCTCACTGGAGGATTACTTTGCAGCAGCAGTCTCTAAGTACTGCTAAGCCAGCACGTCGTCCCTGAAGGCCACCTAATCTGATTTGTGGCTACCAGAGTTGAAAAGTTTAAGCTGAAGCCAACTGGGATTTTGAAAAATCTGAGAGGTTCTTATCTGTTAGTAGGTAGAAATTTGATTTGCCTTTTGAAAGGCAAAAACAGCACAGCTGCTTTTCTGCACACACACACACACACACATACACACACACACACACACACACACTTGTACATCCAAACAGACTGCTGTTGCACATCTGATCACTGCATTTAAAAATATTGTATGTCTCTTTTACTTTTCTGCTGTATTAGGATGCAGGAATATTTCCTGAAGTGATGTAGAGCCATGGAGGGTAGATTTTTCTCATTTGTGGGAAGTGTAATTTGTTTATAATTTTCTCTTTGTAGAAGGCAAACAGTGACATAGAAGATATACCTGCATTTGCCTGTCTTGCAAATATATTGCCTTAATATTGTTGATTTAAGCTGGTTTTTACCTGGTCATAAAGAAAAAATGGTTGTTGCAGCTTTTAGTCATTTGACTACTTCAGCATGGAGTTTTGTGTCACCACCCCTACTGGGACAAGTTAACTGCTGAGCTCTTACCTTTTTTTTGGAGCTGCTGGAATGATCAGAAACAATTTTCAATTGGCCACTTCTGTTCTTCCTCAGCCTGGTGTATGTAATGTAGGCAAGTGTCACAGGATTTCCCTGAGAGCTCTGCTTCCCTAGAATTTTTCAGTCATTTGAGGAAAAAGTTAGGACAGGATCTCTGCTTTTAATGAAATGTCTCTCCCTCTAGATGCTGGTAATTTATTCTAATTTAAGATGATTTGATTTTGAATCCAGTGGTAGAACTTTTACAGACATCTTTCTTTTTAAGTTTGAAATGCTCCTGAAAACTGTGAAAATATTTCCTGATAAAAGATTCTGGCAAAAATTGTTACTCTTTTCAGGTGTTACTATCGAAACATTTTGCAATTCTGAAGTAATAACTGTTCTTACCAAATATTTTTCTAGCTACTTATTTCTCTAGCTTGTTTACTACTGCCTTTCTTTATGACATTAGAGCTGACCATAGAAGCAGCTTTGTTAAAAAGGGAAACAAAATATAAAGCCTACATTCCTTGCAAACACACATGCCTCAGGTGTGTGGAATTCATGGTGTATGAATGGTGACATTATGGATGGAGCTCCCTGCTAAAGTTCTGAAAAAACATAGCCCATAAATCCAGCTAACTTTCAGGTGTGGCATCTGAACACTATAAAGTCATAACTTGAGCCAAAAATTACTGGGAACTGTGTATAGCCCTGTTAGGTATTTCTAAATTATTTTAGATGTATAAAAATATGAAATATTTGCTTTCTCTTTTTTTTTTTCAGAACATTAGGGGAAGTGTACCCATACTACATCAAGGCCCCTAGTGATTCTCTGGCAAAACCCATAAAGCAACTATTGAAAGGTATGTGTCCAGACCATGGAAAAGAATATATGGTTGAAAGAAGTGGAATGCAGCACTCACACTTGTACATTCACTGAGATGTTATGAGGTGCCTCAGTCTGAAATACACATACAATGGTTTCTACTTGGTGCCTGCAAGACTGAGGCAAGATAAGGCAATACAGTTTAAGACAGAAAATACATCTGGATGTACAGATGTACAATAGCTTTGTATTTAACAGTAAGGACTCTAAGGATGAAGTCCATCTCCTTTCCTTCAGTTCTGCTTTAGGAACTGTTTTCCCTTGTTTTCTGAGTAAGTGATCACAAGTTTCACTTCTCTGCATCTCCCTAATACCTTACTATGAACAGTCAGTAGCATTGCATGTCTGCAAATGTAACTCCTCAGCTTAAATAATGACACTGCATAATTTTGGGGTTTTAAGCTGTTCTTTCCTTATTGGTGACAAAGAACCCAGTTTAGATAAATCATTGATTTTCAGAGTCAGAATGCATACAGGTACTCTCAGAGAAACAGAATACATGAACACATGGGCACATAGCACATGTGAAAAACCTATTGGGTTGGAAGAGTAGGAACAAGTCTTTATTGAAGAGCAATTTGCTCAACAAAGGTTAAATTTGGTGCTTGAGTATAGTAGTAGTAGCAGCAGCAGTAGTAGTAGTAGTAGTATGTAGTACATTACTGTCAAGGTTCAGTGAATGGATTCATTAGGAAAAACAATTTTTAAGACTGAACCTCACGTATCAGTCTATGAGTAGCAATAAGTTACAAGTGCTTCACTGTCATTAGTCAGGTCCTTAATTTGAGATTCTTCAGAAGAGCTTTAATGTATACACTACTAATGTACATTCAGGAAGATCAGAGTTCCCCTGCTGTCCGTGTGGTCAGTATGCATAAAACAGGATACTATGCTTTTCTTGATATAAGGGAATAACATCTTTTACATCAAGACATAAATCATTTACAGTGGTAGTTTCACTTTGACATCTAGAAGCTGACCTCTATCCCTCCAGGCTAAATGTCTTTCTTTTGGCCTGAAAAGCATACATGATGAGTGTTACTGATATTTTGGCCTGAAAATATCAAAATGATTTGACAGTTGTACAGAAGAAAATGTAGGTGATATGAAATATTTTATTTATTTAATGCAGATTCAGATGAGATTTGCAGAAGGAAAAACACAGGGGTCTAGGTTTTATAGGTTTTATACTTTTGTACAGAAATAATGTAAAAGGGGATTTAGGGGAATTATAGCAAACTTTTACCTTTCTCAGTCATTTTATTATGCAGATGTTTGAAGTATCTGTCTCAAAGTAGTTTGATTTCTACAATTCTTTGTGTATTATTTTAACACTTCTTTTTTTCAATAGACTGCAAGTGGAAAAACATTACAGTTTCCCTGGTCAAAAATGTGTCTGGTGAGGGAGTTCGTGAGTGGTGGGTTTTGAATCAGCTTGGAAAAACATTCAAAACATCTGGAGATAGTCTTGAGCTCATCATATTCAGTGATAAAGTCAGTCCTCCAAGCCTTGGATTTTTGGCTGGTTATGGGTAAGAAGTAATCTTTACATAAAATTAAATAAAGTACATAAGGTAGAAGTAGAGGTGACTTTATTTGCTGATTTGGGGGTGTTATTTCTTTGTTGTTGTCATGTTTGAACATTAAAATATTATGAAAAGGGGGTCGGGGAGATTTTCAAATTAATGTCTACTAATTATCTATAGTAGTGTTAATATTCATAAGGAATAGTATCACCCTTGGAAACAGCTCTCCAGTGGGAATAAAACCAGAAGCACCCTTCACACCAATTTCCTACTGAAGTAAAAAAACTCAGAAGATGTCAGTTTAGCTGCAGGTCAGGTTCTGCCCAAATTCTCCCCAGTTTTGGTGACCTTCCCAATCTTGTAGCCAGGACCCTGGGTGTGAAACAGTTATGAAACACATCTCCACAGAGAGAGGAAGGAAGGAAGGGGGTCTGTACATTCCCAGGAGATACATCCTTCTGGTAAAATTTTAGAGAACTGCCCATAGGAGGATTATCAGGGAGGACAGGTAAATGTTAGTTTGTCACTAGGTACATATGTATTACGTAATTTTAATAAAAAATATTACATATGAAACCTGACAGATTATTTGCCTTTAGCAGCCAGCTGTTGTCAGATTTCCCAAGTTGTGGCAGTTGTGACTTCCAAGCTGTAGCAGACAGGACATGAGCCCTTCAGCAACTGGGGTTAAACCATTTAAGTCAGCAGCCTCAGCTAGTTTATGTTTCCAGATTTCTGTGATGTTTGAAAGACCTTACTTTCCTTCATCCTGCAGCACAGCAAAAACAAGATCCTAATTAGAAGTTAATGTTCACCCAGCTGACAGACTACACTGAGACATGTAGATGAGCTTTCTCACACTTGGCTGACCCTTTTTCAAGGCATGATTTGAACTCTTCCTTTCTTTTTTTTCAGCATTATGGGACTATATGCTTCAGTTGTCCTGGTGATAGGGAAGTTTGTCCGTGAATTTTTCAGTGGGATCTCTCACTCCATCATGTTTGAGGAGCTACCCAATGTAGACCGAATCTTGAAGTTGTGCACTGACATTTTCTTAGTGCGAGAGACTGGAGAACTGGAACTAGAAGAAGACCTGTACGCCAAACTAATATTCCTGTATCGCTCACCAGAGACCATGATCAAGTGGACTAGGGAAAAAACTAATTGATCTCTTTGGTGTCACACTGCAAATCAAGTTGATTTAATCTGAATTTTAAAGGAAAAAAAAAAAAAGCACAATATTCTCTTAAGAGCTAAGCCTTTTATAGTTGGGTAGCAATGATTTTTCACTGAAGGAGTCCTGGAAGCTACGGCCTTAGGAATCCATGCTGCCTTTTGAATTAAGGATGGACAGTGAGGAAGGTTGAATGATTTGTTGATTTTAATGTGCCACTCCTCTACAGTCTGGGGACTGCTTTGTAATTTAATCAACAAAATGTTTGCATCTTTGTCTGGCTGATTTAATTTTCCAGACAACCATTACAACTTAAAAAAGAAATGGAGTGAACCGACAGATGACTCCAGTGTACCTTCTTAACCCTTTCTGGAGCCATACAGTTTGGATTGTGCAATATGCTGTTGTACATCACTGACTTTCAAGCTACAGTAATGGGACACTGACTAGCCTTCAGGACACCCAAGACCCAGGACCGCACTGGGATCTGAAGACATTCTAGCCACACCCATTTGTAAAAAAGCAGAGGTTTTGATGTACAAAGGACACTGTGGACAAGCCTCTGTTAGCAAAAAGAAAACAAGTAACAATCTGTTCAAATGCCTTATTTTATTTGTACAGTCACAGGAGACATTTCCACCAAACATCAATGACTTTTCTCAGGAAGAAAAAGCAACTGAAAACTTGACACTTTGTCAAGATTAACTAATGGCTAGAATAATTACGGTGAATTATTGGGGTGTTCTGCTGGGCCATTCTCTTCAAAGTTATTGCTTTCCATTGGATGAGAAAAGAAAGTGAATTCAATGACCTAATGAGCAACTTCATTTCTTATAACCCTATAAAGACTGAATAGTGTGTGCTTCTCTCTGCTCTCCTTGACATGCTTTTTCCCATTTCAATGATTTAAGGCAACTGTTGTTTTGCTGTTAGCTGATACTCTTCTTCCAGTGTTTCAGGTATATGAAAATGTTTACATATCCCAAGTCACATTTTTACATCCGAGACGGGTTTTTTTTTAGGTTCCCAAACACAGACATAAGAGCTTGAAAAATGGCCATTTCCTTAAATTGCTCTTCTTAGTGACACAAATGGCTCATTACAGAACATTGTAGCATGAAAATTTACAATTGCAGTGTAGGTTTCATTCCATGTTTAAAAAATATTGAGAAAAAAAATCATTTAGTGGGTAGGGTATGTTAAAAGGGTATACTGTGTAGTTTTGATTCAGTAATGACTTAAAATAAAGCACATGTTGCAAAGTCATTTTAGAAGTATTTTTTCCTCTGTCTTTTTACATGAAATGGGAAGAGTTTGACATTCTTCTAACTCTGTGACAAATAAATCTCTTTCTTGTAGTTAGCTGCTATTTATTATATGAATGATTAGTTAATCACCGGAAAGAAACTAAAACTAACATAATTTGCTGGCACATTGTACTGCAGAACTTCATAAAACAGCACAACTAAATGAAGTTGAAACATACTCTGCTGAGTGCTTCCATGACAAGAGCTGTCTCATCCATTCTATACTGTGAAAAATAATGTTTTGAGCACCTTGAAGTGCACAAAATAAAAATCGCTTTATGATATTGTAACAATAAAATAATTTGGTGACTGGAACTCACTGGAAGACAACCAGATTTCCTCCAAAGTGTAATGGAAAGGTGGTTGCTCATACAGCCAGGCAGCATTCCCCCCTGGGGAGTTTTGCTCCATTTCTTCTACAGGTCCTGTGAATGAAAATCAAAATATACAGGTCAGCCCTGACATGGCCTCCAGGGATGTTAAAATGTCCTTTGTGCTTGGATTGATCCTCACGCGGGTGTTCGGTGTTTTAAAGGAAAGCAACACTGGAAGGAGAAGTGTGAAGGGTGTCATGTCTTTCTAAAGGTACCAGCCAGCAGAACCACACTGGCCCTAGTTGGTCCTGGCTCCCTTCCTGGTTCCTTCCTTTCTGGTGAGAAAAAAATCTGTCTTTGGAACGAGCTGTAGTTATTTGGGCTTTGCAGAAATGTGCTGCTCTTTCTTCCATGGATTGATCAACCTTTGAAAATAAAAGGATTCTTCTGTTGGGGTTTTTATTTCTTTTCTTAAAAAACAACTTATAGTCAAATCACTGACATGGACTGGGTAGCTACCTGCAACAGGTGAGAAGGGTACTGCTGATGACCATCCTTTGACCATCCTGACCAGCTGTCCAGATAAAGTTGAACTAGCAGCCCACATTCTAGGTGATCAATACTGGGACCAGTACCATCTAACATGTTTATTAACAACCTGGACGACACAACAGAGTGCACTTTCAGCAAATTTGTTTCGCCAAACCTGTGTCTGGGGAGGTTTGCGGTAACATGTCAACTGCCCTCCTGGGACATGGAGTGGGCAATTGGTACCAGGAGGGTAGGACTTCCTTTAAAGGCAGATCTCAGGATACTGGAGAAATTATCTGCCAGGTACTTCATCAACTAAGACAAATGAAGTCCTGACTCTGAGGCAAACTAACTCCTTGCAGCAATTCAGACTAGGTAGGTGGGTTGGGAACAGCTTTACAATAAAAAGAGGCAGTACCAGGAGTGGGAGTTGCATAAGTATGAGCAGTGTACCCTTGAGGCAAAGAAAACTAACAGCTTAGTGGGCTGTATTTGCAAGAGCACAGCTGAAAGCCAAAGGAAATTATAAGTCCTCTCTATTCAGCACTTGTGAGACCACATCTGGAGAATTCCACACAGGTTTGGGGTCTCCAGTGCAAGAAAGATACTGACAAACTGGCCTGAGCCTGGCAGACAGCAGGAGGTCACAACATTGGAGGAGGGGCTGGAGCAGCTGGGCTTGTTCAGCCTTGAAAAGGAGGAGTCCAAGGGGAGAGCTTATTGGTGAGGTATAGAAAAGCTCTACAGAGCTGCATGATAGATTAAGAGGCAACAGGCACAAGCTGCAACAAGGGAGAAAGAAAATTATTTTTATCATGAGAACAGTCAAACACTGGAGCAAGTTCCTAGAGAAGCTGTGGGATCTTCAGCCTTGGAAGTTTTCAAAAAACTTGGCTGAGCAACCTGTTGTAAGTGGCCATGCTTTGCATGGGAGGTTTGACCTGAAGCCACCTAAGGTCCCTTACAACCTGAATTATGCCATGATTTTAGGATTCTGACAGAGATACTGTAGCTTACTAAAGACAGTATATTGGCTGCTGTGACAATGACCTCGAAAGTGTAAGAATAAAGTCATCAGGTACTACAGACCCAGTGCAGTACATCAAACCTACCTTAGTAAGCCCCTGTGTCCTTTTGTAAATTTTTCAGAGCTAAGCACTGCCAGGGAAAATTCCTGTTTTCCCTCTTCCACCCTTGTAATCAAGAAATTATGGCTCACGGGATGCTAATATAAGCCCTTAGCTGTATACATGAACTGAATTGGAGGGATGGGATTAAATGGCAGTTTAGAATCTTAACGGGTCAGACTTAAATAAAGTTCCATATAGGACCTGATATTTTAGTGTTTACAAAGAAGTTGCAGTTTAAAAGCTGCATCCATCTGGGCTGGTTCAGAGTGGATGTTAGGAAGCATTTCTTTACTGAGAGGGTAGTCAAACACTGGAACAGGCTTCTGAGGGAGTCCAAATCTGTCAATGTTTAAGAGGCATTTGGACAGTGCCCTTAACAACATGCTTTAACTTTTCATCAGCCCTGAGGTGGTCGGGCACTTGGACTGTGATTGCTGTAGTTACCACCTCTTAATAGGCCTGTGGTTAATAGGCACACATTTACCAGAGTACCGTTCCTCTATTTAGGTGGCAGGAATGCTGCTTTCCAGGTGCTGGCAGAGGACATACTTCTTCAGGAAACAGTTGCATGACCTTTCTTCAAGGTCCATGGAGGAAGGAGGCCAAGTCTGATGAGGTCTAATTCTGGGACCCTTACAATTGTGAATCCTTCATAAATTGCATGAATACTCCAGTAAGTGTTTGAAGCATCTCCTGAGCACTCAGGCAGCACTTTGTGCAAGAGCTTCACTTTCCATGAGAGCCAGGAGCCTGTGAAGAGATATTAGCTGATTCCTTTATGCACTCTCTGAAATGCTTGAGCTTCCAGGGGAGCTGCTGCTGTTTCAGTAAATGTCACTGAGGTGCTACAACAGGACAACAGCAACTACCCAGCCTCACTGCTTCTGCACAGAATTCTTCTGCATAGAAGCCTGCTCTTTTACATGAAATAAGGTGCCAAAGGTGCAATTGTCCCTGGGATCTGTTCCTAGAGGGTACTTGCAGCTTCTATCGCCTTTTCTGTACACCACACACTTGTGGCTGCTCTCTTTATTTTATTTATGGATGCTCCATTTTTGGTTTTCCTACACAGCAGCCTGTATCAGAAGATAGAAAATCCATAATTCTCAGTGAACTGTTACACCAGTGTGTCCCCAGTTACCATCCTCTCTTGAGACTAAATACATAAATGCTAATTACTCTACCTGAGGACGGAGCCCTCAGCAGTGTCTGCCTCAGTTTCATTCCTGCATGGGAAAAGGGCACACAGCCAAGTGGCCAGAGGAGAAGCACGAGAGCCAGAGCTGAACATTTCCTCACCTTCCCACAAACTCACCTTTTAAACTGAAGCAGCTACTCTTTTTTTAACTCAGTGTTCTGGTGCACTAAAAAGTGAGATGAAACTTTGCCTCTGTGGGAGACTCATTAGCCAGAGAGGTAAAAGACCAGCACCATATTGACAGAAAACATGTTCTCATACTGCCCTTCTCCTAGAAAACCCAGGTGGTTCCTGCAGCATCAAGCATTAAATGGAAGATGATGCAGTTTTCTGTAGCCTCAGGTTTGGCAGCCCTGACTCACAGCACCAAGATTTCACTTTTCCACTGCATGGTGAAAATTGTGTTTTGGCTACAAAAGCTCTTACAGCAACCATCCGATAGCAGTGAGCATCACCCTGGATTTCTGTCAGTGATCCCTGTTGTTGAAGACAGGCCATTTATTCCTGTCTAGCCAACGCTGCACTAATAGACAAGGCAGAGTGGGCACACCCATGTGAAACCTGTAGACATTTTACCACCTGATTGTAAGGTGACAGGGAGCTGACTGCAAATTCAATAAAAATTTTTTCTTATTTCAAACGGACTGTATTTTCAGAGGTGAGGAAAATGGTATGGCCAAGCAATTGAAGTCATATGTATTGAAGTTTCAGTCCTATCCCATTCCCATCAATTATCTTGTTATGTTGCTTAAAGAGACACCACTCTAAGTCAAAAAGTGCTCACATATCAGCAGTCTGTGAATACTGAGGATTCAGGATGGGCTTCCCAGGTCCCATAGCAGGGAGCCTCCACCTGCGGCCACAGCCACAAATGAACTCTTGTACTTCAGCTCCAAGAGGTGCTTCAATAGTAGCTTGTACTCACAATAAAAACTAAGAAGTTCACAAAATAGTTAGATCAAGGGGGTGAACCTTGGTAAAAAGCCGTGTCTCACTCAGGACTTGCCCTGGTGTCAGCCTGACCCTGCCGTGGTGCCAGGGGGTGAGGCAGAGACCAGGTTGGGGCAGGAGCAGCTCCCAGCCACAGTATTGCCTGTGTTCACATGCCTCTGCACTGTAACACGTCAGTGTTAAGAGTTGTGTGATCAGTGTCTGCAAAGAGAAACAGGAGTTTCAATGAATTCTCTCACTTTGTTTTTCACTGAAAAAAAAAAAAAAAAAACCCTTCACTTATCAAAGGGTTTTTCTTGAGGAATTTTTTGCTGAATTTCATGGTAGGAGCAATGGCTGGGCAGGCTTCCCCAAGCAAAAGCTAAGACTGTGCTCACAAGACATGGTTTAAATTGATATGTACCTGAAATGCAGCATTTATATTGGCCACTACTTTATCTTTAGCCATTCTAAGGGACAAAACAAAACCTTTCATCTCTTTGCTACAGGATAGCAGAATCAACCCCAGACTGTAGGGAAAAAAGTAACCTGCTGGTTTTCTCTCCCAGCCTATGAACTCTCTTGTTCTGCCCGCCGATAGTCCAGACAGAACTTCATAAAGCAGGAGGAGAGGCAGATTTCAGCTGCTGTACGTTTTCCTTGGCTCTGTTTAGAAACCCGTGTGTTCTTACGCACCCGGTGGTGTGAGTTTGTCAGTCAGTGCAAGAATGACTGCTCTGACAACTCATCCAGTGCTGTAACACCAGGCATCCCAGAAATCCCTGTTGCGTGCAGAAACAGGGTGGATGGTTTGGCTCCCACTGTTTTTGTAATTGAAGCTCTTGCAGTTTTCCCTGATTTGCTAAACTGGTTAATCCCCAGGCAATTAATATAAAAATATAAATAAATAGATAAAACTGCTGCTGGTCTGTGTGGCATCGTGCGATATTTAAACAGCATTTCTACTCTGGGTGCATATGGGCTATTTTAGCTCAGGTTTTGTTTCTTTCTTGAGAGGAAGGAAACCAGAGGAAATCTAATACTTTATTAAAAGCTTGGGGAAAGCAAAAGAAAAGCAATCTGTGAGCATGCAACAGGAAAGGCAAATTTCGTGTTTAGTGGCCAAGGGAGCCAGAGCTACAAGTGCAGTACAGACCTGCCCCACTGTGCTGAAGGGCTACACATTTTTTTAGGGCATGTTAAGTGTTAAAGTAGACACATGGGACAGCAGAAAAAGAGATGGAGGAGAAATAAGTATTCAGAATCATTCAGTGAGACTCTTTGAAGGAGTTCCTTCAGTCCTGTGTTTCAAGTTGATAAAGTTCATGGTCATTCATTCATTGGCCAGTCTTTGCGAATGAAGAACCGGGGAAGGTTTTTACACCTTCCAGCCTGCGGATTGGATTTTTTTAGATGAGACACAGTGTGCGCGGAACTGAGCCCACCCTTTAATCCTAAGGTTCATCTGCTGGGGCCAAGCGAGCTTGGGCAGTGGCAGCGAGGTCCTCAGGATGTAGATGGATTGCCTTACAGGGCTAACGAGCTCCATCTGTCCTTAACCGCTAGACCACCAGGGGCTCATCATTCACAATGCAACTTCAAGATTTGTGTGAGGGATGTGCTGCACAAGTAGAAAGCCTTACAAGTGGCCACCAACCACTTCTCA